GTATCAAGACATTTGTGCTGCCCATTACATTACAAACCACAGGAGAGGAGAGGGTAAACTCTTTAGCAGGATAGCGCTCCTTCTCATACTTCAGCCTCCTAATCAAAGTTCGTGAAATCAAAGAAAGGTCAAGGTGCTCCAAGATTGGCCAGCCCAGTCACCAGACAAATGAACATTATTGAATATGTCTGAGGTGAAAATAAAGGAGGCATTGGAGATGAATTCAAAGAATATTGAAGAACTCTGAGAGTCCTACAAGAACGCTTTCTTTGCCTTTCCAGATGACTTTATTAATAGGTTATTTGAGACACAATATTAATACACAATATTACACAATATACAATATTAATTCTTTTCCCATTGCACTATGACTTTATTTTCTATACTGTACATTATTTCTGTGAAGTTACAGACATTACTGTCCTAATTAAATAATTAAAAATCAAGGCATGATCATATTTTATTTTGGTAAAATAAGCACAATCTAGAGCAGTAATTCTCAACCACGTTCCTGGAGGACAACCAGTGCTACACATTTTCCATGTCTCCTTAACCAAACAAACCTGATTCAGATCTTTAGCTCATTAGCAGAGGCTAAAAGAGCTGTAATGGGTGTGATGGGTAAAGGAGACATCTAAAACATGCAGGGTTGGTGGTCCTCCAGGAACGTGGTTGAGAAACACTGATCTAGAGGCCTTTCCCTTTCATATAATCCACTTCTGACATCAAACGATCAACTAGAAGTCAAGTTATTATTTGTCGTTCCTAAAACTTGGATAGACGACACGACTTGTCAGGTAGTGTATGTGTGTTTTTGTCTATGTGTGTGAGTGTATATACATATTTATATACACACACGCAAACTGAGAGATGGATATTACTAAAATCAATACCCTTATCAGTCATTGTAATGCTTGCATAAGATAGTTTCATCTTATTGAGTAATACAAATTACCATCAACCACAGATCAAAGAATGTCTCGCGTTTCCCCAATGGTAATTACAACACCATGGTGTCATTCCTGTATGCTAATCTTTTAAATACAATCATTCTGACATGAAGCCAAAAGAAGTCTCCTTGTATGCATAAATTTGCCGTTCAATTAAATTTCCAAAAGCACAACAAAATGTGCAGAGGATCCTCTGGGTTGTTTAAACTAATACATCATGATTCACCATGTCATTAGTTCCCGTGAATTGTGTGGTTTGGGTGCCCGGAGCCGATGCTGTTCTAACCCTGAGCGCTCAGCTCAATTAGGGCATTAGGAGGCTCATTCTGCCACCAGAGCTGTCAGCGCTGCCAGCCGACTGTAGAGGAAAGAGTGAATCGATCACACTTCCTATTGCAAACTCTGAACAAACCTTCTCCGCTCAACCCAAATCTCACGTCCTTAGGGACACAAGAAGAGAAGTGTGCATAATTTAAGCAATGTTCCATGCTCTCCATAGTCATACTATGGTATATTAGAGGATAACAAGGAAAAAAGTAGATGGCTTTTGATTTATAGCTACCACTCTGCTAACAATTACTCTAGTCCTGAGTTCCAAGCAGCCCTCGGAGAGCACAGTTTAAACAAGTCATATATCTTTACGCAGGGCAGAGTGTGGCACATCATTACATTAAGAAGGAGAGGCTGAATCATCAAGGTGACGCTGTGAATCATGGCGCAGCTAGGAGTTCAATCCATGGCAACCCGAAGAAGAGAAAACCCTTGATTCTGGAACCCCAAAGGAAAATAGGTTCAGAGATGGCAGAGTCTCCTACACTTGTATAATCATCACCCCAGGGTTTTTAACCATAGTTCATGAACCATTTACAGAATGGAAGTGTGCAGGTAAAAGAAGCAGTGTGCTTACAAAGGACTAATGAGGGTCCATTCACAAACCAACAGACAATACAAGACAGTACTTTCTCTTCCAGGTCTACAATACTATTGAAAGGACTGTGGTACAATTTTTCAACAATCGTTCCTTTTTTAATGGCACAGGCAGCTCAATCATTCATTTACCCTTAACAATATGAGGAGGATCAGGCCCTTCTTAAATGACGATGTCATAGAACTTCCTGTTCAGATTTTTCTTGTAATGTTCTTTGGACTGGACTTTCATCATGTGCAATCAAACTACTACAAATGATTCAGAACACAACAGCACATTCTGTGGTTGTCAAAGGGATAGGTCACGCCAAAACTGAAAATTCTCTCATCATTTACTCTCCTTTCACCTTTATCCAAACTTTTTCCTTGCTATTTCCTAGTATAAGGTCAATTGTTGCAGGTTTTCCTCTTCATCTTTTTGAATAAAAAAACTCATAAAGGTTTGAGGTGAACCCCTTGAGGTGAAGGTATATGGTGAGTAAATGATTATCTTTGGGTGAACTACTGTACCCCTTGAAGTGAGCATCACCTTGTGGCACCATCCCAAAAAGGCACAAAATCACTTTCCAGAACTTTCTCCTTCTCCGTGCC